TAGATATTATTGGTCTCCATTATGTACTTCTGTCAAATCCCTTCCCAATATGCACCTAAGCTGACAGCTTCAAGGTTTTGGTGAGTGCAGTATGGTTTTTTTATTTTATTTAATCAGAGATGGGAAAGCTAAGCTGTCTCATTTTGCAAAGACACTTTACAAATTGATTTGCCAGATAGCAGTACATATGGCTGCATATTAATATAAAATACCTTGAAAATGTTTTCCTAATGCTCTCATTTGTCGCGTAATAGAGATCTAAGCGCATCCAGCTTTAGTCTCACAGAAAGGTTCTTATAAACATATTAGAGAGAGAAGCTGTTCATTTGAATTCCAGCAAGCTAATGCCTTCTGTCAAAAGTTCCTAAACAGATTTATAGATTTTAAAAAACACCAACCAGTGAACACATATAAATCAAAAGTATTTTTTGCCAAGGTGCATATATTGCCCTTTATCGACACATTTGAGAGTTAGTGTGGTGTAGAGGTTAAAAGGTAAAGGTAAAGGGACCCCTGACCATTAGGTCCAGTCGTGGCTGACTCTGGGGTTGCAGTGCTCATCTCGCTTTATTGGCCGAGGGAGCCGGCGTACAGCTTCCGGGTCATGTGGCCAGCATGACTAAGCCGCTTCTGGCGAACCAGAGCAGCGCACGGAAACGTCGTTTACCTTCCCGCCGGAGCGGTACCTATTTATCTACTTGCACTTTTGACGTGATTTCGAACTGCTAGGTTGGCAGGAGCAGGGACCGAGCAACGGGAGCTCACCCCGACGTGGGGATTCGAACCGCCGACCTTCTGATTGGCAAATCCTAGGCTCTGTGTTAGAGGACCTCAAATTAGGACCAGGGAAATCCATCTTTAATTTATCCATTCAGCTGTAAAGCTAACTGGGTGGCCTTGGACCAATCACTGTATGTGATCCCAGCCTACTGCAGAGGGTTCTGGGAGGATGAATGGGGGCACTTTGCTTTGAACCTTTTGGTGTAGAGGCAGGATGCAAATGAAATAATTAAGTCAGTAAATAAATTTCAGGACACAGTGTGCAAGGAAGGACCATAATCGGTATTTTCAGAATGGCAAAACCGAGGACAATAGAGAGGAAATATTTATTTTCTGAGTTTCAGGGAGTCAGGAACTAAAACCATGAAACCTGCTTCTTGTCCTCCTAGTCTGGCACTGCTCGCAAACATTTGGGAGCAAGAATCATCTCTCCCAGTACTAAACTGTAGGTTCTTATTCTGCTCACAACAAAAGCAAATCCTCCATCCAACTTCACCACCACCACCAAAAACAACACAAAACTCATTCCTCTTTTCCACAGATGGTCACTAGCACTGCAGTTGCTCCACTAAGATTCCTCACACTAAAAATAGCAGGTTGCGAACTATAAACCTGGCCAGGAGTGCATTCCTGGGGAAATAGCCTTGACCATCTCGCCACAATGGAGCTATTCACAGACACGGCAACCACAACTCTACAAATGCAGCCTTTCGTCCCATCTGGTTCCTCACTAACGGAAACTCCCTGCTTCCACGCTGGCAGAGCGGGGCTATCAGCGAACACACGAAAAGGAAGCAGGTAATTTCTATCTGAACAATAATCGGAGAAGGAGATTTATTATACTTGTATCACACCCTTCCCCAAGGGAGCTCAGATCAGAACGACGCTTGACCCTTACAAAAACACAGCTATGTAGGCTAGGCTGGGAGGGGGAGACACGGCCAAGCCCATCCAATGAACTTGCATCACTCTTGCCATTTCATGCTACTGGCTCATGCACACCCATGGTTGCTGTACTGTAGGGGTGGCCAGTATTAAGGTGAAATATTCAATTGTGATTTACAGACACACACACACACACACACACACACACACACACACACACATGCATACATACATACATACTAGAAGATAAAATAGATAAATATTGAGGAGCACACACTTTTCATTGGCATTTGGCCTATAAGCAATCTGTATAAAATACAATCTTAATATTTGTCTGTAACATATATTTTATCTTATGGATTTTTAAAATAATTTATTGTTTGTAACTCACAAATGAGGTTTCTTTGTTTTGTGTTTGTTTTTTTGCTGGAGAGTGGTAGATTTTTTAAAACTTTATTTTTTAGCTTCTGAAAAATTTTATTGCAAGCAATTCCCATATACTCTTCCAAGAAACATTATATTACTAAGCAAATAATATAGTCAAACATTAAGCAGGTTTGTACTATAGTTTAGATTATATCAGTTAAGTGTCTTCTACTTTCCATCTTAACATATTGCCCCAGAGTAAGCCATGGATAGCTGTGGTGGAACGGGGACAGCACTGTCCTTTCCAGTGTACTGAATAAACACATGCCACAGAGTTTCAACATCCTACTTGGTATTTGTGTTCCTTAGTACTCGAAGATGCTTTGTTACTTTCTCCTTTGGAGCTATGTTCCATAGCCTATCCCACCATGTCTTTAGAATTAAGCTAGTAGCTATTTTCCACTACTGTGGAAACTCCCAAAGTACTCAGTTCCCAGCTCCCAACATCCCTGACTACTGATGGGAATTGGGGTCCAACAACTTCTTGGGAGGCCATGGGGTTCCCACCCCTAGTGGAGTAGATTCTGTAGGAATGCCTCTTTCTACACCAGTGGTTTCCAATTAGCTAAGTAAACCATCTTGAGAACAGTAATGAAATAATTTCTTTTTTAAAAAAAACTTATTTGAAATATTTCTAGTCTCCCTCCCATGTTGGGATCCATTATTATTTGTTTGTTAGTTTAAAGTATTTTAAACATACACGTCAGATACATAAAGCAAAACATAAAAGTACAATACATCCATTCAATTAAACAGTAATAAATGTATAATATATCGTTTCAACGAAACACACATTTAAAACAGCAATGCATGTTGATTTCTAACAGCCTCTGATTTCTAATTGCACCTTGAAAATTGCACAAAAAGGCAACCCTGGATTTATTACAGACAATTCATGCAAAGGACTTAAAACACTGTGACAAATAGTAACTCTATCTGCTGAAATGGTAACTATGGGGAAAGGGCCAATTAGTTTCTATGCAGCTCTGATGTACTTTTGTCTCTGGGCTCCGTTTTGAACACGTTTATCAGATCTGAGCAACAGAAAATATATATCCAGAAAATTCACAAAAGCCTACTCAACATCATGGTTGCCAATCAGCCCCTTTAGAGAAAACAACCCCAGGACCATGGTATTTAGAAGTTCAACTCAAGTTGCATAGAAATGCCACTGAAGCCCCAAGGAACACTGAGGGAGTGGGATTATGAGATGGTTTTGCTGCAGAGGCAAGGCTATTAATACATATCTGTTTTTCACAAATATTTGAATATAAACTGGAAGCTTGCTGCTCCACAGTTCAGATGCTCCGGTTGCTTTTTTTCCCTGGGAAATCCTATTCCTCTGCGGTACCAGGCTGTGAGATTTTGGCCATGGAAAGGTTTTCAAAAACAAAAACAACCGCTAGCAGATCTCAATGAATTTGGTCTGCAGCGTCTGTCTGGCTTGTATTTGCAACATCCTGTTTACAGTCGCGCTTGGATGGCAAGCGAAGCAGATGCTATAAAAGCTCATAAAGTAAATAAATATAAATAAATAAGATTATGTCACTGCAAATGAAATGATTGCAAGTGTGCGAGGAATATGTAATAGGAGGAGCAGATGAATTGCTAAGCGGCAACAGATCCCTAATGCAGAGCATAACTGCCTACAGGAAAGGAAAGGTGGTTATAAAAAGAAATCCATGTCCAACGCCTCTGCTTGCCTAGGACATCTGTGGGTCTATAAAAGCTCCATAACTCACCTAAGTACCAACCTCAGCAGAACTGCAACGTGGAGGCAGTTGAATTGAAAGCACCAATTCACATTGTGATGCAGTTCAAAATGTCCTCAGCAAGCCCTGCTGTGTTGGGGTGGCCCTTCTGCTCATTTTCCTTCTGCCCCAAATTCCTGCCTTGATGGTGCCACTCAATGCACACCCTTTCCCTCTTTTTCACCAGTAAAGCCACCTGCACAGTCGTCCCTGTGTCTGCAAATCTCCTTTTACTTATCTGCCCTTCTGTTGGGTAGCATGACATGGCCTCCTTCAGACAAGGACCCAATGGAAGACAATAGTCTGGGTCACTCCCCTGCCCATCATGGGATTTGTACATGTGCCCAAATCAGCTGCTAACCCAGCCAAATGGAAAACAGTCCACAGGCTATATATTCACTGGATATATCTTCAGGCTGTGATAGGTCTTATTTTGTCTTATTTATCTTTTCACTTGCTACATTTACATACATCCTTTTTGCCAACACACTCCAAGGTGGTTCACAGTTTTAAATAACTAGCTTGCGGTTCAATGGGCATGTAACAAAAAGGGAGAAATGGAAAGGGGGGGAGGTGGTGGTGGAGGAGATATAAGTAATCTGAGATGATAGAGCCTCAGTATGACAAAGTTCTGGGAGGGAAGGAACCAGCCAGGACATTGAAGGGGGCCTCTCTGTCTCATCTCTCCCTCTCAAGCACCCAAGTGGAACAGCTTAAAAGGAGATAATTCTGGGATGAAGGAGCCTCTTCTCATATTGCAGGGGGTTGAACTAGATGATTTTCATGGTCCCTTCCAACTCTGATTTGTGGTGCATTTGTAACAGGCACCTGCAGTCAATATGGCACCCTTCAGCTGTTCTTGGGCCACAAGTCCCATCATCCCTGACGTTTTGCCATATTGGCCGGGGCAGATGGGAGTTAAGTGTCCAGCAACATCTGGAGGGGAGGGTGCAACATTTGTCTACCTTGGATCAACAGCATTCGTCGGCAGCAAGTCTTGTCTGCACTGTATGGAGTACAGGCACTACAATCCAGTATGGGTGGGTGAGGGCATACCACACAACATCTCAGATTTCCCTGCTCCCCCTTCCCCTCCTGTAGTTTAACCTTGATACCACCACAAGGAACAAAATGTTTTCTGCACCGGCACTGACCACCACAGGTCAGTTGGTAGAGCATGTGACTCTTAATCTTGGGGTAATGGGTTCAAGCCCCATGTTGGGCAAAAAGATTCCAGCGTTGCAGGGGGGGTTGACTAGATGGCACTTGTGGTCCCTTCCAGCTCTAGGACTCTAGGATTCTGTGATGCCCGGCTTGCTGGTTTCCTATGTTTAGGGAAGCTTTTAAAGTTTAATAGGTGTATTTTATATATTTGTATTTTAGTGTTCTGTTGGAAGCCACCCAGAGTGGCTGGGGAAACCCAGCCAGATACGTGGGGTATAAATAATAAATTATTATTATATTATTATTATTATTATTATTATTATTATTATTATTATGTGCATTTGGTTGGCCACTGTGAGAACAGGATGCTGGACTAGGTAGCAACTGGCCTGATTCAGCAGAGCTCATGTTATGTTCTTATGTCCCATGTTCAATCCATGGCTACTCAAGTTTAAGAGGCTCCTTCCAATCAGCAGTAACAATATGGGCAATACCAGAGGTCCGACCTCTTAATACAGCACATTCATATAAATAACCCCTGTCTGTAATTTTTAAAAAACAAACCGTAAGGATAGCCAGCCACGGGAAACTGCATGAAAATGCACAGAAGAGATCCATAACCCAAGACCAGCCATCCTGAGGACACAGTCAGGATTTTCTGATTGCTCAGGGCCAGTCATTCTAAGTTTCCGGCTTGGATGACCAGATGTTATTTCAAGGCTTTTTAAAGTGGCTCTACTGTTCCTGTCTTTCCTTCCTGTCTAGCGTCCGCCCAAAGTCGACTAAAAATAGGCAAGACTCGCCTCCTGTTTTGGCAGCCCGGGCTAAAAATGAAGTTTTAACAGAGAGCGCAGAAACTTCGAGGGAAAGGAAGCGATGATTACTACTTCATTTATTTGTCAGAAGGAAGAAAAAAAAGAATGTTTCACTTGCATTAAGTTGACAACGTACACCCCAGCTCTTGTGGCAACACTAAGGCTGCTGTGATTCACTTTAAACAAATGCTATAGAATATTCATGGGGGAGAAGGTTTTTTAGAAGAACAATTGGCACCAGATTTTTTTTTATAAAAACGTTACACTTTTGCAGTAAAGGAAAGGTTGGATAGTTGAACACACTTTAACATAATGCTTTGAAAAATGCAAGGCATTGCCTACTACATAGTAAAGGTACCCCTGCCCGTACGGGCCAGTCATGTCCGACTCTAGGGTTGTGCGCCCATCTCACTTAAGAGGCCGGGAGCCAGCGCTGTCCGAAGACACTTCCGGGTCACGTGGCCAGCGTGACGAAGCTGCTCTGGCGAGCCAGCACCAGCGCAGCACACGGAAACGCCATTTACCTTCCCGCTATAAAGCGGTACCTATTTATCTACTTGCACTTAGGGGTGCTTTCGAACTGCTAGGTGGGCAGGAGCTGGGACCGAACGACGGGAGCTCACACCACCACGGGGATTCGAACCACCGACCATACGATCGCCAAGTCCTGGGCACTGAAGTTTTACCCACAGCGCTACCCGCGTCCCATGCCTACTACATAATTTATACCAAAAGCAATTGTTTGAGATTTCCAGTGGTCTTCAGCTAGTGGTTAAGGACCCGCCTCTGCCTTTCTGTCAAAAGGCACATTTCCTCAGGTATAGTCAGAGCCTATGATAGGCATTACAGTGGTACCTCGGGTTACATACGCTCCGCTAACCCAGAAATAGTACCTCGGGTTAAGAACTTTGCTTCAGGATGAGAACAGAAATTGTGCAGCGGCAGCAGCGGTGGGAGGCCCCATTAGCTAAGGTGGTGCTTCAGGTTAAGAACAGTTTCAGGTTAAGAATGGACCTCCGGAACGAATTAAGTACTTAACCTGAGGTACCACTGTAATTAGAAAGAGCCCACACACTTTCCAAGCCTATCTCCGCAGCAGTGAGAGTTATAAAGTTGTACATGATTATGGGGTGAGGCCCAGAAAGCTGAATTCTGAATCCCAGACCAAAACTGACACCTGCACAAATGTTTGTGTGTAACTGCATACTGAACAAATTCTTGCATGTCCAATAGCACTGAAACTAAACCCGGTCAGACTTCAATGTCTTTGTGATATCGCTGTCATCCCCATTTGATACTCAGAGTCCTGGACCTGAAAGATACAGTACATAATTGCAAATGTCCCAAGCTTCCCTGTAAGATCGAAAGAACTAAGCCAACAGAAAACAGAGCGATTGTGACATTGCTGATGGGCAGCCCAAGGTCATGGTGACATCGAAGCATAACCATCAATGGTACTAAGAGCAAACAAGGACAGGAATCCAGGACAACTCAAATACACACTTTCTGCTGTCACTGTGACACACAATGCGTCATGTGGTGAAATTTTGTGCAGAAACAATCAAGACACAGGCAACACTTGTGGACTGAGCATGCATATGTACATTGGCTGAGCAACAGGACCCTGCAGGCATCCTTGGGGGTTCTAGAGTGGTATTACTCATGCTTATTATGCAACGCAAGTCCAAGGCATTCACAGGATTCATTTCCAATTTACATTTAATGTAAATGAAGAAAGCAAACAGCACATTCAGCTTGGGAATTAAGACTAACTTCCTTAATACAGCTGCAATTTAAAGAACAGCTGCAGCAATCAATATATTTTCATCTTTACAGATATTTAAGAGAAGTGTGTGGCATCAGTGTGTGTATCTGCATGTTTAGCTAGAATTGTTTTCTGTGAAACCTCACTGTCTGTGTATTGCTTACTTGGAACTAAATCCCATTCAGGTCAATGGGGCTTACACCAATAAGCAAGCAATCATGAGAGCGGCCCATCTAGTCTAGCATCCTGTTTTCACAGTGGCCAAGTCCACAAGTATGGCTGAAGCACAACAGAAGTCTCCCCTCCTGTGGTTTCTGGCAACTCACAAATAAGTATACATAGCATTACATCCAAGTCTGTGCCAAATATACTGCGGTTCAGGCCCTGTGGAAGAGGAATTGAGGAGTAAATCTGAGAGCACCTACCACAAACACCTATATACATATTCCCACTGTTCAGACGTGGCACAAGGAGAACATTAAACTATCTGTGGTAGGTCTTACGCTCTAAAACAAAAGCTTGTGAATAGTTGCATCCCCGGACATGGCAAAACAATGACATCTCTTAAAGAAAAGAAAGAAAAAGCCTCAGTCTAGCTCGTTCTCATTGTGGAAAAGTTCCTATATCTACGTAGTACAACAAGACTTCCAGCGACATTGAAACAGTAAAATGTTAAGCTTGACTAATGAAAATTCCATTTTCATTTTCTGTACCAACTATAATTTATACTGAAGGCTCAGCTTTGCTAACATTCCTGATTTATAATAACTCACTGCCGTATGCACTTTGATTAGCAACACTTGGAAGGAGTTTTAATAATAAAGCAACAAACAGGTGCATTTTTGATTAGCCTCAGCAAGGGAATGAGAGGTAGGGGTGGTGTGTGGGTGTGTGTGGGTGGATGTACATATATAAAACAGCAACCCTTACATTTTGAAAGGACGAAGATTCAAAGCAATACTGTAAATATTCCTTCAAAACCAGGCCCGTCTTGAGTTTAATATGCACCAAATAAAAATTCTGCCAATTAGAGATGTGCAAGTAACATGCTTTACATTACAGCTTATAGCAATTTCAGATAAAAAGCTTGTGTGGTGGAGTGAATCCAGCTAATAAATGATTGGAGTAGTGCAACATATTTTTACTTCAAGATAGCAAACATCTTGAAAATACTTCAGAGGCACATTTTTTCTGTGATTTTCTTCTGAGATCTCATTAAGTGTCAAGCAAGAAAGTATGACAAGCAGTACTGAGCAATATTCACAGAGCAACCTTTGGGGAACGGTGATAAAACCAATTAAGGTTCCTCTTACTTATTTATTTTTTAATTTCATCATTTGATTTTTACGAAAAAGGAAAAATGAAGTCTTTCCCCTTTCTACATTAAACAAAAATAATTAAAGAAAGCAAAGCAATATTCTTGCTATCATGGGGTGCTGTCAACCCAGGAAATGATAAAAATGAAAGCAACCTGTTGCATAGTGATAAAACTTTAGATTAAGAGACCATTCTGCCACTTCCTCCAAACTCTCTTCTAGCTACTGTTCCGAAGGGAATAAGAACTCTGATACGGCAAATAATCTAATCTGGCGGTAGCGTTGCAGAAAATGTGCGCCATCATTCTATTCTAGTTATTTTCTCGTTTGTGTATAAACCTAGAAAGTCTGGAACTATGCTGCTTAACTAATTAAAAAAGCAGTGAAGAGGTTTATGGTTGGGTTGGGGGGGGGGGGTTGGAAACAGATAAAATAAAAATAAATAATGTTCTCCTCAAAAATAAACGAAGCAAATTGGGGAATGACGAAAGTTTTTTTTTTCATAAGAGTGTTCCCCATCACCTATAAGGATACTGCGGGTTGCTGCCTCTGCTCGTGTTGCTCTCCCAACTCGTCTAACCACAAAAAAAACCCATTACCAACCCTCCACCCTCCTGCTTCCCTTCACCTAAAGCCCAATATTGGTGGTAGAGACAGTGAGGCGAGGCCACTCCCAGTACTGTGGACCACAACACTGGCAGGGAGGGCAGGTCAAGTCAACAGCACAGCCCACTACTGAATACGGGGTACACAAATGTTATGAGATTGTGCAGCCATTATTGGAAACTCACCGCTTTCTATATTCCACCCAAGGTTACATCCCCAGAACGGATTATCCCTTGGTCAGAGTGTACTAAGCCTTTATTAAATTGTTTTTTATATATATATACAAAAAGTATTCACCATAATACAACGTTTAAGATCCTTACTCAATAAATTCTGATATTAGCCTCTTTAGCCCCTCCATAACAACAACAAGAACAACAACAACTATTTATTATTTATACCCTGCCCATCTGGCTGGGTTTCCCCAACCACTCTGGGTGGCTTCCAACCGAATATTAAAAACACAATACAGCATCAAACATTAAAAACTTCCCTAAACAGTCAGATAGTTGCTTATTGCCTGGACATCTGCTGGGAGGGCGTTCCACAGGCAGATGCC